AACACTACACAATGAGACAGCTGGGTAATGATTACCCTATTGTTGAAGGTTGTACGTATATCCACTGTAGCAGTGATGCAGAGGTACAATACCTCTCTTGGTGATCAGTCTCATTGTTAATCCCCAGAGAGAGGGGAGAGCAAGAGAGAGAGACTGAGAGAGAGAGTTATTACACCTGATAATCACTCTTTACAAGGTACACCTGCAGACAGTAATTCCTCAGTCAGTAGCACTCTTTCAGTTATTAATTCTTCAGACAGTAATTCCTTAGTAGACTGATAATTTAACAAACACACAGGCTTGGTAACCATGTATATCTCCAGCAAACAATAATACCCTGTTGCCACGTTTATATTAAATAGTCAAAACAAAACCCCAATTATTAGGCCTTCCTGAAATTGGACTTTTAAGAGGATGCCTGATTTTTTTGTATTCTTTCTCAAGTTTTTCTTGTTTCTCCATCAAAATTTCAACACTGTGTACGGTAACAGGGACCAAATTCGTGGCAGGTTCACGTGCCCTGTAACCAGAGTTGTTGAAGCCATTCCCAGTATCCTGGAATGGCTGGGATAGCTTCCAAAATCCTCAGTGGTGGAGCTTCAAACCTTGACAAAACATTCATCGACGGTGGAGTCAACTTCAGCAGTGCTGTTGTATTCAAGCTGCTGTATGTTGATACTGCCTCACACCTGTGTTGAAGTCATTAAAAATCTTCAGTGTTTACTTGTGTGTGACTGCTGCTGGACTTACTGTGTCCTTGCTGAGCACTATCGTGACTATTATTAAACCTACCTCGTACAGGTGTATTGATTCTTCAGTGTATCAGTGTTTACTCACACGTATTCACTCACTTGTACAGCATATTAGCTGACTCACTCACTCATTCACTCACTCACTATCAGTTTTAAGAAACGTTGGAAAAAATACAGCTCTTGCATGTGGCTCATCATAGATTTTCTTGCTCGCTGAGATTTAATCCCCCGTCTCAGAAACCTGGACAAGTTCCCTGAAAGTTAACGAGCGGAAAAATAAATTAAAGCTCACGTCCCAGCTTTAAAAACGAAAAATTAGAAGAGACCCTGAACACGATGTAAAATATATAATATATATATATAAAATAATAATATTTATTTATATAATTATATAAATATAAAAAATATATATAAATATAAAATATTATATAATATATAAAAATATAATATATATATATAAATAATATATATATATATAAATATTTTATTATAAATATATATATAAAATATATATAATATATTATATATAAAATATATATTAAGATCCTTCTGGCCAGGGTATATTAATGAAATTTGGGTCGTGAACCCAACACTGTCTTCCAGACGGTCAGAATCACACACACACACACACACACACACACATATACACACACACAAACACATACACGCACACAAACACACACACACACACAACCACACACAACACACATACACCACACATACACACACACATATACACACACCCCATAACACACATACACACATACACACAATACACACATACACCACACATACATACACACATACACACACACCAAAACACACACATACACACACACACACCTATTATATATATATACATAAATATATATATATATATATAAAATATAATAAATTATATATATTTTATATATATAATATATAAATATATATATAATATTATATATCATTTTAAAAATTAAAAAATAATTTACATTTAAAAAATAATTTTTTTTTTCCAAATTTAAAACCCCCCTTTTAGAAAATTAAATTTTAAATTAAAAAAATTTTAAATTAAATACTTTAACTTTAAAAAAAAAAAAAATTAAAAAATAAAATTATATATAATATATATATAAAAAATAATTTATTTAAACCTAAAAAATTTTTAAAAATTTAATATAAAAAAATAATAAATTAAAATATAATATTTAAAAATTTAATATTGGGGGTATAAATATTAATTAATTTAAAAAAAAAAAGGTTAAAAAAACTAAAGGGTTTTGGAAAAACCTAAGAAAGGAAAAAAGGGACTTTTATTCTCGTTTTTTAAATTTTTCCCGGAGTTTTTAAGGGGAAATTTGGTCTGAACCCAAAAACGCCCAGAGGCCCCGGGAAACCCAAAAACAACCACCCCCCAAACCCATTCACCACCAAAAATTTCCCCCAACACAAACAAAAACCCAAAAAATTTTTTTTTTAAAAATTTTTAAAAAAATTTTAACACAAAACGTAACAAACCCAAAATTAAAATAAAAAAAAAATAAAAAAAAATTTTACAAATAAACAAAAAAAAAAAAAAAAAAAAAAAAAAAAAAAAAAAGATAAAAAAAAAAAAAAAAAATTAAAAAAAAAATTTTTATTATAAAATTTTAAAAAAAATTAAATTTTTTTTTTTTTTTTATATAAATTTTTTTAGTATTTATATAAAATAAAAAATAAAAAATTAATTTAAAATAATAATAACATAACCCCCCCAAAAAATATAATAATAAAAAATAATAAAAATAATAAAAAAGTATAAAACCAAATATAAAAATTAAAAATCCCCCCCTTTAAAAATAATTAAAAAATTAAAAATTAAAAATTAATTAAAATAAATATAAAAATAATAAAAATAATAAAAAAAAAAATCCCCCCAAAATAATAAAAAAATTAACATCCCCCCAAAAATAAAAAAAAAAAAAATAATTAAAATAAAAAAATAGGAAAAAATAAAAAAAATAAATAACCAATATAATAACCCCCAAATAAAAAAAAATAATAAAAATAATAAAAATAATGAAAACCCCAAATAAATAATAAAATAAGAAAAATAAAAAAAATAATAAAAACAAAAAAAAATAACATAAAAAAAAATAACCCCCAAATAATAAAAAAATAAACATAAAAATTAAAAATAATTAAAAATAATAAAAAAAATAACCCCCAACATAAAAACCCCCCAAAAAATCCCCCCCAAACATTAAACCCCCCCAAACATAAATAAAACCCCCAAATAATTAAAAATAAATTAAAAAAAAATAATTAAAAAATAAATGAAATAAAAAAAATAATAACCCCCAACAAAAAACCCCCCCCAAAATAAATAAAATAATAAAAATAATAAAAATTTTTAATTAAAAAACCCCCTTAAAACACTAAAACCCCCCAAAAAGGGGGAAAAATACCCCCCCCCAAAAACCAAAAAAAAACAACCCCCCCACCGTAAAAAAAAAACCCCTTTAAACCAACCTATTTACCACCAAAAAACACCCCCCCAATCTCCCTTCCCCCTCCCCCCCAAAATTCCCCTCCCCCCTTCAAACAACACCCCCCACCCCCCAAATTTTTTTTTCCCCCCCAACACCAATTTTTACAGGTACCAAAATTTTTAACCCCCCCAAAAGGCCCTTTTTTTTG